TGGCTCTCTTGATACTCTTGACTCTATCGACACTCTCAACTCTCTCGATTATCTCGACTCTCTTGACTACCTTGACTCTCTTGACCCTCTTGACTCTCTTGACTCTCTCGACTTTCTCGACAGTCTTGGCTCTCCTGACTCTCTTGACTGCATTGACTCTCTTGATACTCTTGACTCTCTTGACGATCTTGACCCTTTCGACTCTCCTGACTCATGATTCTCATGACTCTACTGACTCTCTTGACTCTATTGACTCTCTCGACTATCTCGACTCGCTTGAGCTAGGCCTGGTCTCAGATAACACAATGAATTAAAGGAGATCAACTATCCGCTATCTGAGCGATCTGTAACCTCTTGAGTCTCTCGACTCTCCTGACTCTCTTGACTGCCTTGACACTCTTGAATCTTTTGACTCTCTTGACCCTCTTGACGCTCTTGACCCTCTTGACTCTCCTGACTCTCCTGACTGTCTTGACTCTCTTGACCCTCTTGACACTCTCGACTCTCCTGACTCTCTTGATTGCCTTGACTCTCTTGATCCTCTTAACTTTCCTGACTCTCTTGACTGCCTTGCCTCTCTTGATACCCTTGACTCTCTTGACACTCTTGACCTTCTCGACTCTCTCGACTCTCCTGACTCTCTTCACTACCGTGACTCTATTGACCCTCTTGACTCTCCTGACTCTCCTGAATCTCCTGACTGCCTCGGCTCTCTTGATACTCCTGACTCTATTGACCCTCTTGACTCTCTCGACTCTCCTGACTCTCTTGACTACCGTGACTCTCTTGACCCTCTTGACTCTCCTGACTCTCTTGACTGCCTTGGCTCTCTTGACTGCCTTGGCTCTCTTGATACTGTTGACTCTCTTGACCCTCTTGACTCTCCTGACTCTCCTGACTCTCCTGACCCTCTTGACTCTCTCGACTCTCCCGAGTCTCCTGACTCTCTTGACTGCCATGACTCTCTTGACCCTCTTGACTCTCTTGACCCTCTTGACTCTATCGACACTCTCGACTCGCTCGATTATCTCGATTCTCTTGACTGCCTTAACTCTCTTGGCTCTCCTGACTCTCTTGACTCTCTTGACTGCCTTGACTCTCTTGACCCTCATGACTCTCTCGACCCTCTCAACTCTCTCGATTATCTCGACTCTCTTGACTGCCTTGACTCTCTTGACCCTCTTGACTCTCTTGACTCTCTTGACTCTCTTGACTCTCTTGACTCTCTTGACTCTCTTGACTCTCTCGACTATCTCGACTCGCTTGACCTAGGCCTGGTCTCAGATAAGACAATGAATTAAAGGAGATCAACTATCCACTATCTGAGATACAAGGTCTCTCAAAGTAAGACAGCACAGCGTGCCAGAATCTTTGCGACAGTGAATAGCAGCGATCTGTGACCGCAGTAGATGGAACTTTGTGCTGACTTGATTCGATAAAAGATGTATATAACTTATCTCCCATACCCCTCATAGGGAGCCTCAAAATATGCTTAGGGCGCTGGAGATCGAAATTTCTATTCTCGTCTGTTGTTGTTACAAGTCAATGAAACTTGGTTCGTTTGGGTTACTAGGGCTGCCAAACTCTAATATGGCCGTTACAAATGTTGCATCAAATCGGCTTCGAATTTGAAATCCACGCACGCAGTTTGTGAAGAATATGAAATTTCATTCAGATGAGAGGTATCCCCTGCATATATTTAAACATATTATCATAGAAAACCTTCAATATTATTGGACTTTTCACAGCAAAATGTAATGAAACAAATACATAGTTAACTATATTCGATAGATAAGAAATATCCAATGCGCACAAGAGTAAACTCTTTTTCAGTAGGCTAAGTGAGGGACTCTTACGTGGGGTCTCACTGGCTTGTGTTTCACTGCTAAACCACATTGAACAACTAGTATATTAGAAACGTGATCTTAATGGAATAATGGCCCACCTATACATATGTACATACTGTTATGATACCAGGAACAGGAAAACTCTGCAAGGTATAACCTTCAGGCTGAAAAGCTATTTATACTTGTATACTCCTTTATATACAGCAAAGGCAGACATCACATGAAACGCTGTGTGTTTTGCCCACACAAATCGTGAGGAAGATAATTTGGATTGAAAGACTGTTTGTTTTGAAAGAGAAATTTTATAAACGAGCAACACTACAAATCATTTTTTGCTTTCACGCCTAAATATTAAAACTGATCAATTTGATCAAAGATTAATTCTCCTGTGTATTATTACAAGCTTATACTTGTAGCTAGGGCTATGTAATCCATTGACGTCCTCTACATAATCTTTCCACTATCACTAAGAATTTGCATGCATGTTCTGCTTTGGACACAAGACGCTATAAACAAGTTTGCAGGGATTTTCAATCGGCTTCAATTTTGAAGGAGAGATTAGTGAATATTTGCATTAAAAACAGCAGATATTGTAGAGTAAGATTGCATTTCACGCATGGTCAGGCACTCCAAAGTGTGCTTACATTTACATGATGGGTTATTTCATGTTCTGCTAGCTTCAAGAAAATCTATACCTTTCGTTTTTAGGGCAGACTAAATTGGAGCACAAACACAAATTGTTAATTTATCCGACTTCAATCGTCGTTATAACTAGCAATAAGTATAGCTATCAGAGAATGTGGTCTAGCAACATCAACAGTCTATTACTATTATTAAACCATCAAAAAGGTATTCTGTGTAATGGTATACAAAATGATAGACGAATAATAAGGTGCGCCGTATCAGATACCTACCTCTATTTAAATAAATGAAGTTTATCAGCGGTGACGGTCTGATGATCAAGTAGTACAGACTAATTATTCCTAACAAACAGATGTTTGTAAATACCTTCAAAATAACTTGTCTGTCTTTGACCGCTACAGATTACAATTTGGATTCAATTGACTTCAATACGTGTATCGATACCCAAGAAGTAGTAATGGTGGCCTGCCAGCTAGACCAGCTCTGGCCCTTTTACTTCCCATGCCAATTGATGAGGAAGTATTGTAAACGCAAAAACAGAATTTATCAATCCTGGCGGTCCTCATAAGGATAATCAAATTATTGCATTGTCAACGGTCCTTGATACGTGTGCGGAGTTTCATATTAATAAAACTTCTGGAGATTGGTGACAATTATGCTCAAAGATTCCGTTATATACATACATAAATACATACAGGCCAAGCTAATAAAAGCGTGTTAAAAACAAAAAAATTAACCATGACGTATTCTGTAAAGAAGCAATTACAGATTTCATAAAGCATTATAAAAATATTAATAGAAAGAGTGGTAGGAAAATCAAAATTGAGCCACGCAGTTTGGACTTCAATTCGCCTGCTACAAAAAATATGTCGCATATATCGGGGATTTTATTAGCAGTCACACACATCATATTTACAGGCGCTTTCGACGGTAAGTTCGTTTGAACTTTTTGGCATAAAACAGGAACATTACATCCAGATGTCAGTTGTGACACCAGATACTGTATTTGTGAATGTATTATGGGACAATCGATTAGAGGATGCAACAGTTTATACAGGGTGGCTAATATACAGGGTGACTTCGAAGTTGAGTCATTTATTTTAACAGTGAGTAGATCTGATCAAAAGAAATGTTTTTTTCCTTTAACATTTTTCTGGTTAAATTAAAGTAACAAAGTTATAGCCCTTTAGAAGTTTGAGTACCGCCCTGTCTCAATAATAATATTATGTGCTCGTGTTTGGCAACAACGGATATAATCCGCCTTATCCGTTCGTCGCATCGGAAACAAAAAAGCGAAAGAATTTGAAACGATGTTTTTACTACAATGTACAATTTTATTCAGTTGTATTCAGTCGATGTGTCAGTCGGTAACGCGTGAGTGAATAGTGGTGTTTGTTGCGTGGCTCAAACGAAATAAAAAATGGCACATGTTTACGAAAATGCTGAATGTAGTACAAAGGGCTCGTGAATCAGGTGACTTAAGACCTCACAGGGGAGGGCATGCCGGTGCTCCAAGACCGCACGATCAAATACAGGTCCGCACTGAAATACTTGTCGGGAGGATACTTTATAAAACAAGGTAACACTTTTTTTTTATTTTTTTTTTTTATTTTTACACACATATTTTGGTTTATCTTCCTTCTACAATCATTATCTGAAAATTAATGACTCAACTTCAAAGTCACCCTGTATAACTGACTGATTTAAATTGAGCGCCATTTTTGATACACGCATTTCAGTAGGTGGCGCCGTAGTAGTTGTTTCCAATTCGTCCAATTCGTCATTTTACTTAAATAATGATCGATTGTTGCAATGATTCGGATGCTAAGACAAGATTTCGGTCGAAATAGTGTGCCCAGTGTCAACACCATTCGTCATTTGGTGCGGAAATTTGAACAAATAGGTGAAGTTAAAGACTTGCCTTGGTCGAGCAGTGTTCGAACTGTTCGTACTCCGGAAAATATCGAGATAGTTCGTGGAAGTGTAGTGGAGCGCCTTGAGACGTCTACCAGACATCGCTTTCAAGAACTGGGTATTCGTCGCACGTCATTATGCACTATTTTAAAAAAAGAGTAGCATTTGCGGCCATACAAAATTCAGTTAACCCAACAACTACAGCCTAGTGACCATGAAAGTCGCCGACAACACATTGCAGCTTAATACCCAAAATAGCGATTTTTACCGACAACCTAGCAATTGTGTGATATTATTTTTCATGCATAATTTATAAGTTTCAATAAAATGTTAAGATGAAAAAAATGGACGTCTTTCATTTCATTTCACAAATATTCAAGTTGCAAGCCAGTCAGTTACATATCGGCCACCCTGTACAAAACTAGAGTTGCTGATTGATTTGACCCATCCCTTTTCTTTGAAACCTCCAACGAAGACATAGGAAGTATAGAGTCACTTTACTTGGAGATTTTTTTTTACTTTCTGCAATCTACGAGGGATGTCTTTTAAGTTTTGCATATGGAAATAAAACAACACGGTAGGTAGTTTTAAATAACTCTATTGTGTTTCGAAGTATTCTCCACGAAGATTAATACACATCTGCATGCGCTCGAACCAATTTTCGAAGCACTTATTCCGCTCGTTTGCTGACAGATCCAAAACGGCATTTTTGAATGCGTCAACTGCTTCTTCTGGTGACTGGAACCTTTGATCACGCAGTCTGTTTTTAATTTTCGGGAAAGTAAAGAAATCGTTAGGACTTAGATCGGGACTATATGGAGGATGGTCCAATAATTCCACGTTTTCTTCCGTTAAATACTGCCTTGTTTTGCCTTGTTTTTTGGGCTGTGTGCGAGCTTGCATTGCCTTGGTGGAGGATGATTCTTCTTTCGGGGTTGATTTTTCGAAGCTTGGTAATGACTTTTGGCAACCAAATGGTGGTATACCAATCCGCAGTAACAGTTCTTTGCTCATTAAGAGGAATTGTTGCAATATGACCCGCTTTTGACACAAATTTCGCGACCATATTTTTCGAAACACTTCGAGAACGGATGACTTTTGTTGGCTTTCTTCACCTTGGAACACCCAAACAGCCGACTGTCGTTTATTTTCTGGTTCATAACAGTAAATCCACGATTCATCACCACTAACAATGCTGTACACATTTTTTGAGTTTCCGGAATTGAAACGGTCAAGCGTTTTTTGACACCAATTAACCCTGGCTGCTTTCTGCTCTTCAGTCAACAGGTGGGCTTTCCAACGAGAAACTAATTTTTTTACTCCTAATTGTTTATGTAAATTTGTTTGAATTGAGGTCTTTGAGATCTTCAAGGACGTCTCAATCTCGCGATATGTCACATGTCTATCTTCGATGATGAGCTTGCGCACAGCATCGACGTTTTCCTGGGTGACTGCCGTTTTTGGTGCACCCACCCTGGGATCGTCGCTAAGACTCACCCGTCCACGTTTGAATTCTCCATACCAACGGGAAATTGTCGACAGATGTGGCGCTTCGTTGCCGAAAACAGACAGTAACTCAGCAAGGCATTCTTGTTGCGATAATTGTCGCTGAAGGTTGTAATAAATTATGGTGCAAAAATGTTCTCGGTCGAGTTCCATTTTTCTAATGACTTCGCGACACTTAAAAATTCACTGTAGTGAGAACACTGCACGTATTGTTGTGAAACTTTGAATTTAAGTTTAATAAAGAGTAAGGTTAAAATTCAGTAGTGACGTTCGATCCGCGCGGCCTACTATGTTTCTATATGCAAAACTTAAAGGACATCCCTCGTAATCTTCAAGAGCCAACAGGTCCAAACGACGCTTTAGTAACTGCCCGTTTAGCCTCTTAGCCTCCCCATCGCGAAGATTTTCGATCTCGAGATTTTATGTTCCCGTAATGCTTCGCACCAAAATTTTTACACAAAACAATTTCTGCTGGCATTTTTTATGTAAAAAAACTGGCGATAAATGATATTGATGCCTTCTTTAACCGTGAATGAAATATCCGCTCTGTGGAAATAAGATTAAATTTGTCTTGTTAAAGTTTTTGCTGAATACCGTAAATACCATTACAAAATACGTTTTAACAGTATTCGAGTAACATTCAACGGCTTTTACTTTTTAATAAGTTATTTCGTGAACCAGTGAAGCTTGTTACGAATTTTTCGTATTTGGAATTTTTCCACAAACATCTCAGTAGTTCAACAGTATTAATAAATGAACATAAAAATGGCTTCAATTAGGTTGGTTCTGCACATCCGTCTCAACGATAATTTAGCTTCTCTAGGGGCTGTATCGTCAGTCGTTCCCACAATTTTAGGACGCCTTAACGGCCTCCTTGATTTTCTTAGTATTTTCTAACCTCCAAAAAGGCTGGGATATTTCTAGATTTCTACTGTTCCCTGTCAGCTCCAGCGTCTCCCGTTGTGTAGCTATATTTTCTTTTTGATTTGTAGGAAATTTCAGGCTGATATAACATGATATAAATCAAAATCATGAACAATTTGATGCGAATAGATATTTGTAACATAACCTCAAAATAGAGCGCTGACAGTAGAAAACTATGAAAATCAAGGTGGCCACAAAGGCGTCCTACAATAATTGTAGGAACGACTGACGATACGGCCTTAGAAAGAAGTTAACTACGGATATGTATAGCAAAAGAGTTAAATGGATTAAGTCAGTCATAGACTTATATAATTGACCTCTAGTAATCGCGCAAAATTTCGAAAATAAAGCATTATGTTTTTTGAATCGATATGTCTGTCTAACGGTCCGCTAGTCGTTGGCCCATCAACACAATGGAAAGTACCGCTATGATAAGGTTACTATTATTGACGAAATTGATCACGAAGCTTTGTTAAAAAAATTAGTACACTTTGGATTCACAGTACGTACTATAAAGTTCTCTAGAACCTAATTATCTGGGTGGAAGCAATACGTAGCATATAACGAGTCCAAGTCCGAAGCCTACCCAGCTCCATCCGGTGTTCCCCAAGGGTCTAACTTGTGACCACTTTCATTTCTGTTGTTTATTAATGACCTCTGTGAAAATTTGAAATGTATGCAAGTATGTTTTGTGGACGACGTAAAAATATATTCATCTATAAGGGATATTCATTCATTCATATTTGGATTTGCAGAGTAGTTTTCGGACGTGGTGCGATGTCAACAATTTACATCTAAATACCAACAGGAGCAAGGTTTTTAGTTACAGTAGGAAAAAGCACTTCATACTTTCAACTATAATATTGATGGTGCGTTGTTGGATAGATCAATCACAGATTTTGGTGTTCTTTATAACCAAAGATTAACATTTGCTCCCCATACTTCTCAAAGACTTGTAGGCAATTTCACGACATATTTGTATGTGCGCGTAAGAAACTTGAATATGCGAGTATAAACGAAATTGAAATGGTTCAAAGGACATTCCTTCAATTTCTTTATATTAAGTCTGAGACTTTATGGATGTCCTAATCACTCGCCATGCGCTGCGCGGGTTCGAATCCCGTCCCAAGCGAATTGTTCTTTTGGCTATGGATGTTATAATTGTCCGTCGGTGACGATCTTTGACTGTCGATCGCAGAGGTACCACCCGGCGGATCTCTGAGACAGGGTCAGAATGTGTGCGTGTTGCATGTACACGTGTTTCCTCGCTAGAGTCCGTGTGGCGTCCCCCCTTTCCCCTGAATCGATTGTATAAAAAAAGAAAGGTTTCATCTGCAATTTTATTTTTCAAACTGTTACAGGGCATGATCAACTCCCCATAATTCCTGGCACATATTAATATTAATGAACCTCCGTTTTCATCGCGCAACTATGTCTCTTCTAAACCATACAGAGCAAGCACCAACGTTTTGGTCAAGCCACATGTGCATGTAAGTAAGTAAGTAAAGTTTATCTACCAAAAATAACGATAATATTGTAAACTGAATATAAAAGCGTACAGGGTTTAGGATGGTAAACAAACAGGAAACCCACAGAAGCAAGCTTGTGCGTGAGATTGTACAAATTGCAAAACATTAATTATGGTATGGACATTTTTTAAAATTCCCAGTCAATTGCTAATATTAGTAACATAAAATTCACTCAAGCATTGTACTATAAAATAGTTCACACACTCAAAAACAGTTCGACTGAAATCGGTTTACAATACTGGCCATCAAAACGGTAAGGTAATCCATAATCGGTAATAATTCGAAAATGTATGATTGAAACAAGCATATAAACTCGTTAAAATCGTCTACAGTCGGTTAATTTTACAAGTTTGAGAAAAACTGGAATATTCATCTGATGCCATACATGTAATGTTATTAGAAGTCGGTATGGATGAGAAATAGAGGAAGAGAGAAAAATTGATGAAAATACAAAGTAAGTATATAGACATCACCGCAACAGATTCAATACATTTATGAGACCTATACAATCATCACAGATATTATATTATGTATGTTTTGCCTAGGAGTATTTGAGATCCACAACTTGAGTTCTTTCTTAAACAGAAATGTTTGATTGATCCTTCTAATATGCTCGGGCAAGGCATTAAAAGCTTTGGAACATAAGTACCTGTGACTTCTTAGGCCAAATGTTTTGTAAATTTTTGGCAGTTTTAATTATACGTCCCGTTGTCTTGTATTATGGCAATGCTTAATGTAATCACTGTTAACTTTATGAAAGTGCTAAAATGAGGCTAGCTGTTGGAAAAATAATTATCTGATATCAAATACTCCCACTTCTTTGTAAAGCTCATCAGATGGATACCTACGTGGTTTGCCAAGCATTATTTTAAGTATCCACTTCTGCATTACTTCCAATTTATTGAGGTTTATACTTACTAGGCCACCCCATGCAAGAACACCATAAGTGAGATGAGATTGAACCAAAGCAAAGTACAAAGATTTCAGAATGTCTGGGTTGAATTTTGGGACTAAGCTCGGTATTCTTTTAACCACCTGGCTGACATGTTCTGACTACCTCAGATGGTTGTCTAGTACAACACCTAAATACTTGATGTAACGCCTTTTATACTGCGGCATGTGGGGCTTATAAGAAGTAAATGGTAAAAAATATGTTTTGTTCCAATTTACTGAGAGCTTCTTGCTATTAAAAAATTCAACAATTTTCGTAAAATCTGTTTACGCTAAAACTTTTAGACTGTGTCACGAATTATATTTATATAATATTGCCGTGTCATCCGTGAAGCTAATGATAGCTCCGGCAGTTTCCATCTCGAACAGATTATTAATATATAGCAAGAACAATAACGGTCCCAGCACCGAGCCCTGCGGCACGCCAGAGCTTGTTCCCAAATATCTACGTTTAGTGACACACTGCTTTCGGCCAGACAAATAACTAGAAATCATCTTGTAGGATATACCTCTGAAACCAAGACGTTCCAACGTGTCAAGCAAATTTTGATGACATAAGGTGTCGAAAGCCTTGGCGAAGTCTACAAATATACAAAGAGTTGGAGTTGATGTATCAACAGCCGCATTTATTTGTGATGGAAGATAAGAAATTGCATCCTGAGTTGATCTGCCCTTTAGAAACGTGTACTATTTTTCTGACAGAATACTATAATTATTTAGAAAAGAAGATATTCTTGAATATAGAATTTTTTCACGTACTTTAACTAAAACTGAGAGTAAAGAAACAGTCCTATAGTTATTAACCTCTTTTTTGCTACCGGATTTATGGAGTGGCCTAATTACAGAAACCTTCAAACATTTTGGAAAATGTTATGTGTAAAAATCTCAGTACAGTTAGCTGTGATTGCGATATATTTATATCCTCTCTTAATGTAGTTATTAGGATGGCTATTAAGTACTTAAATTGATTATTTTTTTCCAAACTCTGTCGTAGACTATACGTTTATTTTGTTCATTTGATTGTCCTGTCAATGGGTAACCGTCGGACAATAAATGCTATTATTATTATCATACCTAGGGCCAGGGAATAAACAATACTGTGTTTCACTGGCATTCGTATTCAAAGTCCATTTGTCCATAATGGGAGGTACATAGTTAATCTACTTCACACTATTTTTTTAATTCTGATAAAGTTATACGCTCATTGGCAACTTACAAAGGCCTATATTTTATCTAATATACAGGTAACCTTCTAAAACAGTAAAACCCAGTTTTCCAACCATGTCATGAGTTATCTAGATAAAACATTTTTAACATACTTCCATATTTACCCACTTGTACATGAAATTTAAGTTACGTAATCACTGTTCCTGTAATGGCGCATCAAATTATTAAACAATAAATTTATAGTAAATATGTTACTGTGACGTAAATATACTATGCTAATTTATTGCAACAACATTGTTATATTTGGATGATAAATTATACCTATGTAGCATGTATAAGTCATTTTCTGTATCAACACTAAATTGCTATTATGATTGCATTTTATTTTCGTTGTTTAAATCACATGCATGCTGAAGGCTAACTTAAGAAAAGTTGATAAATGATGAGATTGTGTAGACAGATTTTTCAATGGAAGTATATATTTGAGGGAAAGTCCTGAAATACAGGAAATTTACTCGAAACTTTCTTATTGGATGTGAAAGTTGGAAAATCACTTTTGCGAATACTCTAAAGGATATTAGT